TTATCAGTTCATCTGTAATGGACAATTTAATATGGGGCAGTTTACTTGAAAGATCTCCAAGCGGCTTTCCATCCTTCCTACGAGGACCATCAACCTGATTACAATTTAGCAAGTGGCAGTGATCTCCGGGTTGAGGAATCAGTTTTCCAGTCTTGTCATCTTACCAGAAGAGTCGAGCCTTGTCGTCAACATCTGCATTTGCATTTGATCATATCTCATAACATAATTCATATACATATACATTTCATACCTATGCATAGCATGAGTTTTTCATCCTCATTTGCATTTCTCCCGAGGTCGTATTTTATCCAGGTCTTACCTTGTGGTCGAAGTCCAACTTACTTGGCACCTACCAAACAACTTTGTGTAATGTCCATCTGATGTTCTTCCAGATAGGACGTTTTTCTTATCCGATGGTTTTTCGGATATGCATGTTCCTTTTACGTCCAATATTATCCTCATATATTGTGCTTATACCTTTCATTCAAAGCCATTATTGGATGTCTGGTACCCTGATTTTAATGTCTCTTTCTGATGGTTTTCCAGATTGAGTCTCGTTGTTCTGATGTTCTTCCAGAACTTCGTTGTTACATATATGATGGTTTTCCAGATATTCTCCCTTGATTCTGATGGTTTTCTAGAATCTATCCGATGATTTTCCGGATATGTTTCTCTTTCTGATGGTTTTCTAGATTGAGTAGCTTTTATCTAATGGTTTCCCAGATATTTTCCTTCAATTCTGATGGTTTTCCAGGATCTATCCGATGGTTTTTCGGATCTGTTTCTCTTTCTAACGGTTTTCCAGATTGAGTATCTCTTATTTGATGGTTTTCCAGATATTCTTTTACGATTCTGACGGTTTTCCAGAATCTTTCCGATGGTTTTCTGGATAAATTCCTCCTTCTGGTGGTTTTCCAGATCGAGTCTTTGTTCTGATGTTCTTTTAAAACTCTATCTGACGATTTTCCAGATACCCCTGCGATTCTGATGGTTTTCCAGAATCTTATCCGATGGTTTTCCGAATCTGTTCTCCTTCTGATGGTTTTCCAGACTGAGTTTTTGTTCTGACGTTCTTCCAGAACCCCCTTGTTGCTTATCTGATGTTCTTCCAGATAGGTCTTCAAAACTTGCCCCGTACATTTATTGCTTTCCTAAATGTTTCGAATTTACCTTCAGAAACTTGTCTTCATCTCATGCTCCTATAAATGTCGTCCTTTTGTTTCTGGATATAGCCCAGGGTTTATTCGATGTTTTTCTGAGTATCTCTGGTATGTTTTAGAGTTCATTCGATGTTCTTCCGGATGTCTCTGAAATTTGTTTCTTTGACTCCGAGGTTATTCGATGGTTTTTCCGAGTATCTTTGGTGTTTGTTTCTCTCTGTATAATTTCCGATGATTCCTGAAGATCCCGCTCGATCTCTTCGCTTAAAGGAATGACCCGGAAATTCCAGCACTTGTCGTTCACCTGATCCTACCGCCGTGTGGATCCTGTGTTACTGTTCGTTCTAAAGTGACAATTGTCGCGCTATTCCACTAGTGCGTCGTATTCCCCAGTGTAGTTACTTGTCGCGTCTGTCCCCTATGACGTTGTGTCGTCTGCATCCTTGCATTCATCATTCCATCATACGCATCATATTAGATTCATGGCATTGTCAGCATTATAGTTCGTGTTATTTTGTCCATATCATTGCATATCACTACATCTAGGGGCCAAATTTTCGGTTATCTGTATTTAAATCCCTTTCACCGCGATTTCTCGAGTCTCCGCTACTCAAATCATCTGGTGAAGCTATTTAAATAGGGACATCTGTTGCACCCCAAATTTGTCCTACCTTTACATGGTTTCTAGTGCCACTTTATTTCGAATGAATAAAATGGCACAATTGGCAAGAGACCGTGTGTGACGAGTTGTAAGTGTGAGAGGTCGAGAGTTTGAATCCCACCTTCTTCATTTTTTGTTACTCTGATTCCATTCCCTATCCAGGATACGTAGGCACAAGATGCGACGTCTTGCCGAGTAAACTTAGGACTAACCCTTAGGTCTTTAGGTCACTCTATCCCTTAGCAATATATTTCAAACAGATAATAAAATAAAAAAAGCATACATTAAACAAAAGGTTCCTGTAGAGTACTACAGAAGTTTAGGGGGCTAGTACCTTCCCTGAGCTTAACCAACCCCTTACCTAGATCTCTCCCCGCATTGTCTTTACGATGCAAAATTAGGTTTTCCTCTTTTGACATTTTCCTTCAGATAAATCAAAGAGCGGTTGTGAACTAAAGATGCGATTCAAATTAATTAATAATTTGATATCATATTCTAACCGCAACAAGGGAGCCAATGTTATTAGTCAAGAATAAACATGGGAGCCTGTGGTTATGCGTGGATTATCGGAAGTTGAATAAGTTTACCATTAAAAATAAGTATCTTCTTCCTAGAATTGATGAGCTTATGGATCAGTTGGTTGGAGCTTGTGTGTTTAACATGATTGATTTGAGATTTGATTATCATCAGATTCGAGTAAATTCAGAAGATATACCTTAGACTAAATTTAGAACTCGTTATAATCATTACGAGTATTTGGTTATGTCGTTCAATGTGAGAGTATTTATGGATCATTTGTCTCATATTATTGTCGATCAAGTTAATGCATGTTACTAGAAGCATGTGTGTGGAGGGTAAGAAGGACCTCAATTGCCTAATCTCTTTTTTGGTGATAACCTTCTTCTTTTTGTGGAGGCCATTATAAAAAATGCTTACTATATAAAGCAATGCCTAAATCAATTTTACTAAGCCTTTGGCTAAAAGATTAACTTTGAGAAGACTCAGATTTATTTCTCTACTAACATTTAGCCCTAACTTCATAGGAAATTGTGCACTATACAAGAATTATAGAAGCCTTAAGTTTGGAAAAGGATCTTCGGGCAAACATTTCCCAAGGTAGATGCTCTAGAAATAGGTTTTAGCATATAAATCAACAATTTCAAAGATGGTTAAGTGGTTAGAAGCATTAATGTTTGAGCTTGGCCAAGACAATTGCATTGAGTAAATATGTATTAAGTTGTATCCCTTATTTTCACATGCAGTACATAAAATACCTACAACTATTTATAATGAGATGGAAAAATTACAACAAGAATTTATTTGGGGAGACACTGAGACAATCGTAAGTATCATCTGATCAATTGGGAAGTTGTTGTATGTCTAAGGATCATGGGGGCTTAGGCATCAAACAAGCCTAGTTAATGAATGGTGCTTTTATTTTTAAAATGTTGTGGAATTTTATTGACTAATCCTAATGATTTATGTTGTTATATTCTTATTAGTAAATATGTCATAAAGCAAAGTCTGGTGGAGAATATTATTTAAGGCGAGTGATTCCCCAATGTGGAAATCTATACAAAGAATTGAGAAAATTTTCATAAGAACATGGTGTGGAAGCTTGGGGGAGGAAGGTGGGTCAACATTTGCCTTGACCGTTAGATTATAACACAACAAACTCTTTTCTTTAAATTGACACAAACTGGTATAATTTTGGATAGTACCCTGACGGTTAAAGATGTTGTAACCGGGGAAGGAAACTGGAACCTAGCTTCAACATTGTTTCATTATAAAGATGGTTAACCGTATTATGGCTATTCCTTCACCTCTTCATGAAGATGATGTAGACAAGTTAGGGTGGGAAGATAATAAAGACAATGAATTTTCTATTAGCAATGCATATACTTATCTTTATGCCTCTCCAATTGTGACATATACTGATATCGATAAGAATATCATTTAAAAGTAGAAAGACCTTCATCAAATCTGAATGTTCAATTAGTTTATGACACATGAAAAACTTTTGACGAAATCTAGACGTCATAATTGAAATCCAAGAATACATGTTGAGTTCAACTAGTGTACGAACATTGAGAAGACTTTATAGTCCATGTGCTGCGGGATTTCCTTAATGCAACACATGTATGGATTCGTCTTGTTTCTTGAAACAAAATGAATAATTTTATCCTTTTTTCCTGCATGGATTTTATCTCTTATAATCATAGAGACAATATTTTAGAGTTGAATAGAATGTTTTGCAAGTTCATCTTCATGACCTCTTGCTGGTACTCTGAAAATGGAGAGAAAAAAATCATTGACGAAGGGCTTCAGCGTTCTAACAAACCAACATAATGATTTAGTGAGAGATCAAGAATGAGAATTGTATTCAGAAAAATATTTTTTTTTTCCAATAGCAGCAACTAAATAGCGATTGGGGTAAGTTCAATTGTGATGGTACTTATTAAAGGTCTACTTCCAAAGCAGATTGTTTAGGTTTATTCAAAGATTCTTCAGAGAGTTGGGTGAAGAATTATGATTAAAAAATTGATGTGTATCATACGCTCACTGTTGAGATGTGGACAATGTTACATGGCATGAAACTAATTTGACAACAAAATTTACCAAACAAAATTTACCAATACAGTGGTGGAGAGTGACTCTAAAATTTTGATAAAACACATTATTCTAACTTTAATGTGTAGAATAAAAAAAATATTAAAAAAAATTTCACATCAAATTCAACCATAAAGGAAGACAGAATGACTAGTCATTCATATTTGTAATTTAAACAACAATAAATTCATTATTCTTTCAACTCTCCTCCAGATGATTTGAATACCATTTTAATTAATGATTAAAATGTAGTCACATTCTCTTAGCTAGACTTTATTTTTAGTTTTTCGGTTTTCTCTCTTGGCCATCAGGCCTTTTTTGTTTTAAAATTAAAAAAAAAAATTAAAACTAATTTTTCATTTAAAAGATTTTTACAAAATGTTTTATTTTTAAATCTTAAACAAACACTAAGAGCACAAAAAACAAAAAACACTACGATAAAAGTGTTTCTTTCTACGGAAAAAACCGAACCATCCTTGTGTCATTTTTTTTCTTCATATAGTTAGGCGAAGAAAAATCACCGTAATTGCCAAGCATAGCAGCGGTTGTGAGACGAAGAGTAAACGAAAATGGAAGAGCTGCGGAAACTGGAGAAAGTACAAAGGATGATGGGATTCATGGATTCACGGGGCGTTTCCGTATCAAACTCCGATCACCACTGTAACCGATTTCTAGCTAATTTCATGCTCTTTTTGATAGAACCATGCGGAGAACTCGCCATCGACGACAAATGCTGCTTGATTTCTGAGCTTATGCCTAGGGTAAGTAAATTCCCTCACTGTATTTTCATCCTGTTTTTGTTATAGCGTTGAAAATTGATTCCAGTGTTTGTTTACAGCTTTCATCTTCGTTTGTGGAGGATGCGTATCAACACATTGTCACTGAACAAGAGAACAGTGGTAATTGCATTTGTAATAAAGTAGCCACTCGTTTATTTAGTATTTGTGAATTAATCATTTCAAAATTCTCATTGTTTTGTTTGTGCTCAAAAGATGAAATTGAAAAACAATATGCAAGTAGGATTAAGAGACTAATAGTTATAAGCACTTAGGCTTAGGGTAACAATTAGAATGGTTTAAATATGTACTTGGATGTTAAAAGGGGGTGTGGTGTGGAGAAATCATAGAAAAATGAAAAGAATGGAACGGAATGGAAGAGAAAGATTAGCCAATGGTTTTCCTTCTCCTTGTTTGTTTGGTTGTTTAAAGTCGTCTTAAATAGAGATAACTTTGGAATGCTCATAAAATTGTAGTTTTGAAGACGATCACAGAAATTCCTTCTTCGCCTTTTAATAAAATCTTCCTAATAGAAGGAAGAACTTTGGCGTTGATGTAATTACCACGGTAAGTTAATCAACTCAAAATAAATAAATAAGACTAAGAGGGCATTTGTTTGAAGGTATAGGATCTTATTCTCTGGTACGATGTTCTAGAGATATTTCCAATCCCATGTACAATGCGCAAAACGCATATGGGTAGTACTCAGCATGTGTTTGAATGCCCATCAATATGATCAAAATCATGTTTTAAAACCACATAAACTCAAAAGCTTCAAATAGTTGCTTAATTATTTTCACGTTTTTTTGCATTGGGATGTGATTTTTCAACTTGATTGGGTTTTCTAACGCAAGCCTATGTTTGGCATGATGTTGAAAATGCTAAATGTACATCTATAGTGGCAATTTGGTGATAAATTTATGGTATCAACGTAACGCAAGCCTATGTTTGGCATGACGTTAAAAATGCTAAACATACATCTAAAGTGGCAATTTGGTGATTAATTTATGGTATCAACGTGAAAGCTACTTGATGTAGCTTCTTCAAAACCAAGTCCACATCAAAAGTGATGGAATAGAAGTGTGGATTTGGTTTATTTGGCTATGAAATAGAGAACATGTGGTTGAGTTTTAAAATAACTTCTAGCCATATGAGAATGTAAGGTTTCCACCCTTTAACGTATTATTATCCTTTTCTATTTCACTGATATATAGTAGTATTTTTCTTGTTCTTTTTTTCCTCTCCTATTTTCCTTGAACTGGAAGGATGATAGGTACAACAAGTTTGTAACTATCTGTGGCAGGGGAGAAATTTTCTGTACTACGGTAGTATGTATTCCTTCCACTCAATACCAACACCTGGCATGTGTAGTTAGCTATTCCTGATTTAAAACTATGTTTTTAGGGAAACAAAAGAAGAAAAAAAACAGCAAGATAGAATGGAGAGGAATACTGCCGTACAGGAGTATTGAAAATATTTTCATGGTGGGGGTCTGGAATCAAATGCTGTCCACTGCTGTCTTTACCATTGGACATATCAATATTTATATAATACTATTCCTAGTTTTCATTCCTATGTTTTGTTGCTTGTTTCGAATTTTAAGAATTTTCTTGAATTTTTCACTTTCCTTAGGGTTTGAACAAAATCTTGTTGGAAGTGCATTGCGTAGTTGCAATCAGATGAAAGAAATGAATTTGTTGCAAAATTATGATAAGAATATAGCCATGATAGGGCTGGATTCCATGCAAAAGGCAAATTCTACCCTTGAGGATTTTGTAAGTGTATATTCCAGAAGTAATCTTTTTTATATGCTCATGGTATACTGCTATTATACTCACAAGTCTGTTTTTTATTTTTTAATCTAGATACTTGTAAGTCTTTTTTATTTATAATATGGATACTCGTAAGTCTTTCTTTTTTTATAATCTGGATACTCATAAGTCTTTATTTTTTTTAAAATCTTGCTGCGCCTTAATCATTTTAGATGGTGGAAACTAGACTTAGGTAGTTTGAGTTTATAGAGAGAAGACTTGTAGATTTTGTAGTAAGAAGAGTAAATCAGATGGAGGGTAGTCAAAGTGTCAGAGATAGAGGAAGACCTAGAAAAGTTATTAAACTATTAAGAAAGATCTTGAGATTAATGAGTTGGATAGAACCATGCATTTTGATAGAACATCATGGCGTAGTTTGCTTCATGTAACTGAACCCCAAGTAGTCGGATAATGCTTGGTTGTTGTTTTTGCTCCTTAATCATTTTACTTGGTGATTAATTTGGAAAATGCGCTAGTAGTAGTAATTGCATATCATATACACACAATGGTTGGTCACGGTGGATGTGGGCTATGATCCCAAACAAATTTTTCATGCAAATGTAGAGATTAGAATCCTAGAGTCGTCTCTATAGAGGAGGCGGTTTTACTTGACCGCCTTCAGCCCAATAGTTACTACCCACAACTATGACAATGAGGGTAATTGGTCAACGATCAAATAAAAATGAAAAAGAAAGAAGGCAATGTGGTAATCTTCAAACTCATAAACAAACTTGATTGATATCCAAAGAATACCTGGCTAACAGCCTTATTTTCCATATTGATTAATGGATGAATATAATGTGACTTGCTTGCTTCTTTCTACAGAAATTTACAACTAGAGTAGTTTGGTAGAAGACTTGATACAATTGCCTAGTTATGCAAAACTTGCTCTGTGGTTCCTTTATTGATGCAAACTTTTTTCCAGTGCAGATCATATTTTATGTTTCATGGATTGGATGTAAGCAGGCCACAATCAATCTTCAAATACTTACCTATTCTTTCATTCACCGAGAGCTATATTTATCAGGTACATAGATCGGTGTTAATATTTAGGCAACCCTTTTACTTATTTAAGCCAAGTATTTATGTTAAAAAGTGTTGGGCTCCTAAAATTGCTTCTATGGAATGTGTTCCTAGAAGGAAAAGATTGCCAGAGTATCTCAAGCTAGATGGAAGATAAAGCAAGCTTTGAAACTAATTGACCTTTTTAAAGATGCACTTATTATGTCATCATTTATAAGGACTATCATTGTTTTAGCAATTGAAATGATGGATATGCAGTGCTAACATGCTAATAGTCTAGGCATATCTTTGAAGGGGTGCGTGATAGTATAAGGACTACCATTCCAACTGCTGAAATAACACCAGTTGTCATCCCTGAATAGTTTTGTGCAATGTGCATGCATCATGCACCTCTTCTCAAATATGCCGGGGATTGATGTTATCCTAGGTGGTGGTGGTGGTGGAGCACTGGCCTCACTTTACCCACACATTATGTGTACCTTAAAACTCATTTCAGGAAAGTCGAAGGCCAAGTAACTCTCCATGAGACATGAAAACTTATAAAAGCAAACATACACACGCACACGCGCACACGCACGCGCACTTGTGCGCGCGCGCGCACACACACACACAATTCCTAGACATCTCTACCATTTACAGCCTTGCAATGACTGTCTTTCCTTCAAGACACTCACATTTCTATGCACTTGCTTCAGTTTCAGAGTGTGATTACTTGGCCTTACAGTTTGTTGAGCTCAGATTCTTGACTAAATGATGCATTTAGGTGATAGAAGAGGGTGACGTTGGCCATTTTTCAGCTCAGAAGCATTCTTTTAAGAAAAAATTGGTTCATAATTTTAGTGTTACTGCTCTACAATCATGAAATATATTTTTACAGTAAGTTTAAAATATGCTTTTATAAAATATGCAAAAGCTCTTATTTCTGCTAAAAAGTTGTGGCTGTTATGATGCAGCTGGATAAAATGAATGAGAATTTGCTGCAAACACCAAAAAGGAAATATGAGGTGATTGATTGCATTTATGGTGGCAATTTAAATCTTCATTTTTCAAGTAATAGATTTCAACTTATGTGATTTTTAATATGCATGTAGAAAGCATCTCAAGATTTGGTTTCTTGCTTCTCAACTGACCCATTTGGACCACTTGTGACTATTTTTGAACAAAGGTGTCTTTTGACTGAAAGGTATTATTCTGAACTCATAACCATACTTTTCTTTGGAGTAAGTAAGATTGAGCTTAATTTGGTTCTTTGTTCTTTTTGATTATTGAGCTTAGAATATCAGAAGAACTTAAACAAGGGGAAGAGTACTGGGCTCTTGAAAGAAAGCTCTGTCATGCACTAATAAACGAAGAAGAGGTATATTCACGTACCTTTTTCGTTCTCTTTTCAGAGAATGTATATACAGAGTGCTTTAAATCTAATAATTAGTTTGCTACTCAGATTCTTATTGATGATGTGATAAAGGCTATTCATTTAAAGTCGTTTGATTATCGAGTGCTTAATCTTCTTCTCTATCAACTGCAAGGAGCTAAGGTACAACAGATATTATTATGCAAAAAAATCCTGGCAACATAAATTGCTGCATAGTGCGACATACAAATTATCATCAAAATATTGTCATCAGGATAATTCTTTTTTGCAAATCTGTTTTGAAGGCTGAGGAGTTGCATATGGAGTTTCTTTCAATTTCAGAGTTCTTAGTGGAAGTTTCTGATGATCTGTAAGTACTACTCCCTCCGTTCCTTTTTAAATGTCACTTTTTTAAATGTCACTTTCTTGATAATTTTTTGTTTCTTTTTAATTGTCACTTGCAAAGTTCAAGGTAGTATTAAATCCACTTTTGTCAAAATTACTCTTAGATAATTATTACAGAGAGAAAAAAATAAAATGAATGTAATAAATAATTAAGGGTATTATTGGTAAAAGGGGAATTATTGAATGAAAAGTAACAATATTGATTAGCTTTCTTGGTAGGTGTAAAAAATAAAAAAGTGACACTTAAAAAGGAACGGAGGGAGTAATATTTTGTTTCATTTGGTGCTGAATACCTTGGTATCTCAAACATTAATTCATACCCGGGTATGAATTGAGATCACCCTTTTTATATGTAGTTGTGAAACATCATATCTTTGTCTGGTAAAACAAAACTCTTCGTTAATTTTTCTGTTGCTACTTAGCTGTTCATGTTTCATTTCTGTGACTAAACAAACACATATATTTCAGTATTACTGTAGCATGTTTCAATTTTATAAATTTTATTCAACATAATTGTTCGGTTGTGAAAATTTTGCAGGTATGACTACGAGGTGAGTTCAATAATCGAAATTTTGTAACCAACAGCTGTCAAAATGTTGTCTGAATTTTATTTGACTAAAAAATGTCATGCAGGATGATGTTTTAGAAAATAATTTCAATGTTTTGCGCATGTTTATCAGAATATATGGAGCCTCAACTGCCCCTGCTATGTTGGTATGTCAAACTGGTTACAAGTGGTGCATCTAATTTACACGCGCGCTTATAGAATATCGAGCTCTCTCAAAAAATCATATGCTCTTATTTGTTCACCTGTAGTATCTTTAAGATAGTATTATGTCAATTACAGGCAAAGTGCATTACTGAGGCTGAGAGCAAGTACACGAGTTTACTGGAATTACTGGATCCGAAGCTCTCTCTGAGCTACCAGAAAAGATGTGCAGAAGCCACTAAAGAAGGTAATTTGCTAGATCCATTCGAGACATTCCAGTAGAATAATTAGACCCTAAACTGTACTCAACCATATTCTGCAGGTGGGAAGGTATCAGGCAACCCTCTTGGTACGTGGTGTATTCCAACCGTGATTCAAGATGAGGAATTGTATAGATCAAACTTGAAATCGGATACTTCCTAAATATAAACTTGATGCCTGTCAAAGACTCACAGGCAATCGTACCAATTCTAGTGTTTTCATTTCAAGTGTCTTGGTCATGCCGGTGATAGAGTTAGAGTTGAATTCGGAAAAAAAATATGGATCTTGCTAACTTGTATCCTATTATTTAAAAGTTGTATCCTATTATTTAAAAGTTGAATGCACGGTTTTGAAGACAAATATTTCTATATTGAGTTGCTTAACATGTGTATTTAGAACACAAGGTAGCATTCTCCAAAAAAATATTAATTGTGAAATGGCCAATGAAAGCATGAAAGTGAAAAATTTTAATATTAATATATATGATATCAATTTTTGCAAAATCGAAGATTTTTAAAATTATCAATATTATTCGAAACAAAGTTATAGTGAGACCAGTGTATTATTTATCAACTTATATGGAAGCTTAAGAATTGCATGGGAAATTTATTTGTCAGTATAATTTTCTGCAAACCAAAGTATTAATCTGAATAATGTAATCTGTATCAAGCTGAAGCTAAACATAAATAGGAACACTCCTTGGAAACAGATCAGTTGGAACCTAATGAGGAACAAGTTGCTTAGGTATTTCCTGTAGAGGAACAAGATGCATTAACATGCTATGTATCTGAAGAACTCTTTCATGGCTAAAATTTGAAGTAAAATTAAGTGGTATATGAAACAATATAAAACTATAATATTGTAAAATTAGTATTTTACAATATTCAACTTGTTATTCTTTTGGGTAAAAAGATATTCAATTTGGTTGTATATATGAATTGGGATTGCATGTGATGAGAATGTGTGAGTGACCCCATAGTACTTTCATATTTAGTTAGAAAGTAACGTGCATGATTGTCCTCGTCTTTGGCTCGAAATCCTAATAGTAAATAATTCAACTTCCAATTGCAAAACAATAACAAAAAATTCCATGAAAGAAAAGAAACACGTACACTCCAATTTTACTTTTGTTTTGATAAAGATAGTCACTATTCAATTTTGGTGAGTGCAAGAACCCAAAAGAAAGACATAACAATACAATTGGCCACAAACATGGTAATAAGTACTACAATTTTGGCATATCTATCTTTTTGCTCCTCTTGTGAAAAAATTCTTACACGTCTGGTCACTGAGTGTCACTATCCCTCTGATTACCTTCTCACTACAATGCCAATAATGCAATGGCAGCTTTGGCTGTAGTTGAAAGCTGTGGAATCGCAGCAAGGAATCCCCAAATTAACCTCTAAATGGAAGGTGAGAAAGCAATATAGTTCCACATACCTTCAACCTTATTTTGTGTAAATTCTCAGCTACAATAAATGTTGAAAAAATAATTTATTTCCATTAAAGTTGTTCCAAAATGACAAAGTTGGTGTTATAGTTAATTGACAATAAATGCTTAGTCCACATTGGAAGTGGAGTAAAATTAAATAGCATTTATAAGGCAAAGGAGCCAAAGAGGATAAAGTGTCACATAGTCATATGTGGTGATGCCAAAACTTATGTCACTTGTCTCATACAAAACACCTCTCGTCGGTGGCGACTGGCTCCGGAACCGGATCAGAGGGCGTAGAGGCGCTAGTGGCGTCTTGTAGACGGCACTTGAGCACTTAGAAACACAATTTAGTTATTGGGCTTCTTGCTTTTTTTGGAAAAATAGAACGTATACCGATTGGTAGAAAGTGTTCCATTATGACATGACAATCATGTGTCTTTAAACTCTTTAACTTGAGGTCTTTCATAGACACAAGTCTTCTAATATCTGAAGAGTATCCTTCTGGAACTTTAACTTCACTTAGAAACTTACACAATACCTTTTTCTCCTTTCTAGATAAAGTATAAGCAGCAGATGGTAGATATGTTCGATTTCCTTTCTTCAAGGGTCCTAATTCATTTCTTATTCCCATCGCTACCAAGTCCTTTCTTGCTTTAAGGTCATCCTTAGACTTTCCTTGTATATTGAGTAATGTACTAATAACACTTTCAAATAGATTTTTTTTTCAATATGCATAACATCAAGAAAATGTCTTACATACAACGACTTCCAATACGGCAATTAAAAAAAATTGACCTCTTCTTCCACCCACGCGTGACAAGCGTATGAGCAAAAGGCTTGTCAAACTTAGTACTCACATCTTTCACCTTTTCAAAAAATTTGTTCACCTGTCAATGTAGGTGGAGCTCTTCCTTGTTCTGAATTTCCATTGAATGCTTTTCTCCACCCACAGTAGTGATGATTAAAATTTAAGAATCTATGATGACCAAGAAAGACATTCTTCTGACCAAATTCCAATCGCGTCCAATCTGTGTTTTCTTCACAGATAGGACACGCACATTGACCTTTAATGCTATACCCCAATAGATTTTCGTATGCTGGAAAATTATTAATTCTGCCAAACAATAACGCCCTCAAACTGAAACTTTCTTTCCTATATCCATCATAAACCTCCACACCATTCTCCCACTAACTTTTTAAGTCTTCGATTAAAGGTGTCAAGTATACGTTTATGTCATTCCCTGGTTGTTTAGGACCAGAAATTAACATAGATAACATCATGTACTTACGCTTCATATGGAGGTAGGTTATAAATCATAATAATTACAGGCCATGTGGAATTTGAGATACTTTGTAGACCATGCAGATTCATTCCATCAGTTGATAATGCCAAGCGAAGGTTTCTAGCTTCTTCTCCAAAATCAGGATACTCATTATCAATTTTCATCTACTGTGGTGAATCTGCCGGATGTCGATACTTCCCATCTATAATTCTATCATCTGCATGCCAAGTCAAGTGTTTTGCATCTGTTTCACTACAAAACATGCGTCTAAATCTCAGAATTATAGGAAAATACCATAAGACTTTTGCTGGTGATAACTTTTTCTTATACCGAGATACACCACATTTAGGACACTTGTTTAATGATGCATGTTCATTTTGAAACAAAATGAAATGATTTGGAAAAGCATGTATCTTATCATAGCTCATGCCAATAGAGCATAACATCTTTTTAGCTTCATAGGTTCGATTGGGAAAAACATTATCCTCCGGAAGCATCTCTTTGATAAGGGCTAATAACTCTATGAAACTTTTATCCGACCATCCATTACCCGCCTTTAAGTTGTACAACTTTAATATCACAGACAATCTTGTGAAAGTAGTGCAACCTTTATACAACGGTTTCTCTGCATCGCTTACCAACCTCTCAAACATCTTGGGAAAATCCTGAAGATCTTCTTCAAGTGCTTCTGAAATCTCTTCGACTCGATCATAATCATATGTATCTCTGCCATTGTCATTCGAAGCATAGGTCGTATTATCCCCTGGTTCAACATTCTCGTTACTTATTTCACTATGTAATATCCAACATGTATAACTTAGATCAATTCCATGTCTCTTTAAATGAGATTCCAACTGAACTGCGTCAATCTGACGCCCATAACAACAACCTAAGCAAGGACATGTGATTTTACTGGGCTCTTTGGCGTGTTCAACAGCAAACTTAACGAATTTTGATACCCCATTCTCGTACTCTTTTGACAATCGATTTGAAGACATCAATTTTTTATCCATACTAATTAAGTAGGCTAAACTAAACTAAGAAAGTTAAACAAAAACAGCGAATACCTGTAGCACCTGTAGAGAAATCACCAACTTCTAGAACTACATAGTAGGATTCTTGGAAACAATCACAATCTTTCTCTTCACAGGTAACCCCTATAACAAATTCACTAAGTTAGTAGTTGTACCTAATATAACCACTTTATCACTTAAGTTCAAGAAATTAATCAACAAAATCACAATATTCAACAAGTAATTCGCAAATATTCAAACATCAACAATATTCAAGAACATCAACAACATTCAACAATTAATTCAAGTTTTCATCAACAACAACATTAACGTATATACAAAATTAACATATAAAATTAATTTATTTACTTTCATCAACAACCTCAACATCATTAACATCAACACTAACAACATCAACAACAACATTCTCGTTACAACATCATCAACATCAAGAACAACAACAACAACAACATTAACATATACATTTATATCAAGAACAAAAAAACTTCAATATTGACATATACATTTACATCAAGAACAAAAAAATTTCAATATTAACTTCATTAAAATAAGTGTCATATTTCTTATGTCTTCAATTTCTTATTTCTTAAAATAAGTGTCTTATTTCTTATTTCTTAAAAACTTCAATATTAACTTTTCCTTATGTCTTCAATTTTTACTTAATAAATTGATTCTAATAACTCATAATATATATGAGTAGGTACCAAAAATAAATTTTCTAATCACTCATATTTCTTATTTTCTATTCTCATCTATAAAATATACTTATGTCTTATTGCTAATTTTTGTATGCTATTTCATCATCATCATTCATAACAGTAATGGAACCCAAAAGAATAAGAACAACATCAAACTTTTTTTCCAGCAAGTTTGGAGTCTAAATACTTTTCAACATCAATCCAAGAAAATTATTTCAACAAGAACTTCATAAACCTATCAGTTCTCAAGCCTCACTATGAATTGTAAAAGTAACTTTTTTAAAAAACTTCAATACCTTGAAAATGGTGGAATGGACGGACAAAGGAGGTGGCGGCGGACGGAAGGAGTATGACGGTCGGCGGAAATGACGAAGAAGACGGACTGGTCGGACGGACGGAGGCAGTACGGTAGTGTGTTGCACCCCAAAATTTGACCAACCTCTCTGGCATATGTTTTATTTCATCTGCATCAGCATAAGGCATAAAAACATTACATAGCATATCATTATTTGCATTTTTGCAGGGATCAGGAAAATGTGTATTCAAAATATATAATATGGAGAATAAGGAGGTCATTTTCCTAAGTTAAAAAAAAATATAATTGAGACAAATGCACAAGGTGGGGTTTGAACCCACCACCTCTTGCTCTACCACTTCACACCTTTACCACTCAGCCAGATGCGTGCTTGTGATTACAAGGAGAAAGGAAAAG